AGACGAAATAAAAGCAAGCCTTGGTTTACAAAACAACTTCAAAGGTTGACACAGCGAAAACAAAGAATTTATCGTGCATTTAAGAAAAACCCGATTGCTGTAAATCTCAACAAATTGAAAGCAATATCCAGCGAATTAAAAACTAAAATAGTCGAAGCGAAATGTGTTTACTTTGAATCATTTCAGGGTAAAGTTAAAGAAAATCCGAAAGAACTTTGGAAGTACATTAAGAAAAATAAAAAAGATAACGTATCGGTTCCTACTCTTCTAGATAGTGACAATATCATTAACAAACCTATTGATAAAGCGGAATGTTTCAACAGTTATTTCAGCTCCGTATTTTCGTTACCAGTGGCAGATAATGTCCGAACTGAAAGGCCTGTTTGGGGTGGAGTAGCGCCCATGGAAGACATATTGTTTGATTCACATGGGATAAACATTTTACTGGAGCGATCAAGTGTTTCAAAGGCTGCAGGCCCGGATGGCTTACCAAATGCCCTGCTAAAATCCTGTGCACGTTCGATTACTCCATATTTGAAAGTGATTTTTGAGAAGTCTTTGCATGATTGCGCTCTTGCTAATGACTGGAAAATAGCGTCTGTTGTTCCCGCTCACAAATTAGGTGCTCGTAATGTTATTTCAAATTACCGTCCTATTTCTTTAACTTCCGTTTGTTGCAAAATTCTGGAACATATTTTATATACGTCTATTCTAAAGCACATTGATGGTCATTCTTTGTTTAACCCATTTCAACACGGCTTCCGGAAAGGGCTGTCGTACGTGACACAGTTAACAGAATTCACCCACGATATTGCACAAGCACTGGACAACCGTGCAACTGTAGACTGTGTCTTTATAGACTTTCGGAAAGCATTCGACTTGGTTCCCCATACATTATTGGTGCAAAAATTATCGAATTTTAATATTAACCCTAAAGTTATTTCCTGGATTGCTGAGTATCTCCGTGAAAGGCGTCAGTACGTCGTAGTTAGTGGTGCAGCATCGACAATTGCTGATGTGACATCAGGGGTGCCACAGGGATCAGTCTTAGGACCTTTACTTTTCTTAATTTATATAAATGATATTAATGAAAACGTTACGTCGTGTATGAGAATGTTTGCCGATGATTGCGTACTGTATAAAAAAATAACCTGTGAAACTGATAATCAGATAGTACAGAATGATTTAGATGCAATATACACCTGGTGCGAAAAATGGGGGATGAAACTGAATCTAGATAAAACTGTGTCCATGACGTTTTCGAGAAAGCAAGTTAAAACTAATTTTCGTTATGAAGTCAACAATATTATTTTACAAACAGTGTCTGAATATAAGTATTTAGGCGTCTACTTCACAACCTCGCTGAGTTGGCATCGACATGTGGATTTCACTATTGCAAAAGCTAGCAGATCTTTAGGGTTCATAAAGCGCAACACTAGACAGTTTCCGCATGACATCCGAGAACTCTTGTATAAAACTAATGTGCGCTCCATACTAGAAGATGCCTGCACGGTATGGGACCCTCCGACAAACACCGACAAAGAGAAAATAGAGAAAGTGCAAAACCTAGCCGCTCGGTATGTGTTAGGAAAACCAAAACGGGGTGGTGATTTTAGCGCGACGCGTGCAAGACAAACATTAAAATGGGACACACTCGAGCACCGTCGAGCAAAGCTTCGTTTAAAGCTTTTCCATAGCATATATCATTCACAATCTGGTATTCCATGCGAAACCTATATTTCTTCACCACATTATGTATCTGCTCGTGTGGATCATGCCCACAAAGTGCGTGAGCTTAGATGAAAGACTGTAGCATACAGTAGCTCTTTTTTCCCTAAAACGATTTCCCAATGGAATCGGTTGCCTTCAACCATAGCGTCTGTTATAGACAATGATGCTTTTTATGCTGCCCTAGAAACAGTCACGTCATTCGATTGAAAAGGTTCATAGCATGATTCTAATAATGTTTTTGTAAAACTTGTTGCAATCTGCTCCGTGTGTCGCGATAGTTGTGACTTTGTTGTTTCATGTTTGCGAAATCCTTTTTGTTCGATTGGTTGTCTTTTTATGAATGTTTCCAATGTAGTACCTGTGACTTCATACTTGATTTTTTGTGTATAACCCCCCCACTGTAATGCCGAAAGGCGCTGTGGGTATCAAATAAATAAATAAATAAATAAATAAATAATAAATAAATAAATAAAACAACGCAGGAATACACGTCTCTAATGGGCACTTCCGCCCACAGCCCCGGACCGGAAGTGCGTTCAACGCGCCACCACCGCGGTGTGACGTAACAGAGATGAGTTCGTGTATATAAGGCTCTGGAGCAGTCAGTGGGACTGCGATTCATGTCTTCAGTGCAAATTAAAAAAATATCAGGTGTTCAGTGCTTCGCGGTGTTTGTGCTCGTTTCTAATGTGTAGTTGTGGAATGTTATGTAGTAGTGCCTTCAAATACCACAGGAACCATTTACTAAAAATATATTACAAATTTGGCGTGTTTTGTTTTACGTTATTTTGCTGCAGCTAATTTGGAGGAGAGAGAAAAGCCATAGTAAGCTTCCAAAACATTGTTGGATGAATAGCTAAGCTGTAAAGAATTTTTTTCTTTTTAATCTTCTCTAGCTTTTCAGTCGAAAAACTGTAGCCTTTCTATTGAAAAAGTGAAGAAGAAGCATCTTGGGAGCGACAAAATGTCTGTAGACTTTCTTATTACAAAGTGGGCCAATATTCAAAAGGTAGTCAACAGAAAAGCTTGAGAAAGTCAGATGAAAAGCTATTGATATTTTTTATTCTCTAATGACTTTTTTCAACGACTTTTCAACGGAAAAGCATCACGGGAAGTCTGTTGACTTCCATTAGAAAAGTGGGCCAAAATTCAAAAGAAAGTAAAGAGAAAAGCTGTTGACATTCTATTTCCTTTATTGACTTTTTTCAACAGCTTTTCAACAGAAAAGCGTAACAATTTTTTTAAGGGTGGCAACAACTGCATCGGCTCTAACGAAACCGGTTTTTACCCCGTTTTGTTGGAGCCGATGCAGCTGTTGCCATGGTAACCCGTACGCCGCAAGCCGTTGCAGTCGTGCTCGGTCGGACTCGCGCAAGTGTGTGAACCAACCCTTACGCTTCTGTGACAGATCTTTGTGTAAGATTATCTTCTCGTCAAATTTCCCCCTCTCCACTACAAAAACAACAAAACGGTATTCCAGGCGTTACCAAAAGAAGTAACGCAATACGTTACTCATTATTCGTAAAATTACAGAAACTCGTTACCGACCTACGTTCCATCAAACCAAAGATAACGCGTCACCACAAAGAAGTAACGGTATTTTTGAGTTTTGAAAGTTATGCAATTAAAAGTTTTACCATTCTGACAAACAAAAACTATTATGTCCATGCAGAAACATAACACCTTGTCTTTTCTAATGATTCCATCTGAATACTCCCGAGATAAACTAGAAGGAAAAAACCGAAAAACGAAAGCATTCGTAAAATTCGGCGCCTAAACACCCGCCTTTTTTCCCAGTTCAAAAAAAAAATCTAAGCGTAATATTTTTTTTTTTTTGGAAAGAAGGTGTTACGTGTAACGTAACTACCTTTCTCGTGACTCTAAACTAGTAACGTAATTATGTTATCGATTAAAATGTTAAAAAATGTAACCAGTATGTTACTAAGTGAAAAAATTAACACGTTACAAGTAGCGCCATTACTTGTAATGTGGTACCGCCAACGCTGCAACAAATACGCTGCTGCGTCTGCGTGCCGTTAGCCTTGAGTAGAACCGCTCCCCAAATGCAGCGGCTGTGGTTGACTGCAGAGTTCCGGATCTCCTTGTGGTTTCCATAGAGCTAAACGAGACGGTGAAAACAATCAACGTAAACTCCCCATCATCGACGCCCGTCCCATCTTATCGCTTTTCAGCAAAAATGATTATATGCCCATGCACCTTGATTACATCTCTTCTGCAATTCACTTAAAACACCATGACATCAATTATCGCCACTTTTTTGTGCAGTTTCACCAATTAGAGGGACGACTGATGTCACACTGCAATAGCACGTGGTCTCAGTCGCAAACTTGGGCACGCCCTTTTTTCACCGAGGCTCGTTCACTCGAAAACCACTCTTCGGTGCCAGGAAACGTATGACACGAGCTCTTTTATGCACGAGATAAATGTTCAAAATATGTTGTTTCTGACGTAGTTTGTTATATATTTAAGATCACTCTTCCCGCTGTGATGCTGTTTGTCAGTCACCATCGCGGATGACTAAAAGTGTGTTTTCATTCCTAGACGCCTGGAGCACGGGAGAACGTAAAAATTTCCAAATTATTCCCGGTAAAAGCAGCGTTTGTGCGTTCTCGATGGGCATGAGATGCAGAAAGTTCAGAGCATCCAAAAGCACGGCGGTCCTCTCGCTTCGTGACCCATATGCGAAGAGAAAACCAGGCGTGTTGATAGTTTATCTCGCATTCTGAGTGGTTGCGGAGATATAATAAAACGCAGATGAAGGAGATATAATAAGACGCACTCAGAATGACATGTAGAAGTCATATTCTTGTACAAACTCGGCAACGCATAAAGCTTGGGGCAACTAAAAATTCACTACTCTATAAAAGATGGCATCGTTCATAAGTGCTGAAGGATTTGTAAATAGGTCATTTCTTTTCAAATGATGAGTGAAATCTCAAGGTAAATGTCAGAAATACGAGCACACAATCTAACGCATTCTAACGACTCAGAAGCCAAGAATCAAGCAAGTGAAGCTGGCAGTATTTTAACGTTTTGGAATCGGAGACATAAATAATAAACCCATCCCCCTCTCTAAATTCAGAGAATCATAAACCTGGTATATTATTTCGAAGCAACTTTTGAGCAATTTGTTCTCTTGTTTGTCCTCTTTCTCACGTTTTTTTTCTTTATTTTATTCTCGAGTTTTGAAATCTGTGACGTCAGGCGGTTTTTTCTCAAATTGTGTTTTAATTGTTTGCTAACTCACATTATATATGCTTGTTCTTGGATACATCAAAGGATTCCCGAAGACTATTCCGTGTAGTATTCACCTCGAAGAGCTGTTCGGGATTGTGCTCATGCATTTTATGTAGGCTTGTATGATTTCGAGCTTTCGAAGCGATAGGCTTCCTATAATACGACTTGACGTAAAAATTTACAAAGAGAACCATGATGAGAATCGTTTGCACAATACCCGCGACAATAAGGTATCTGGGGAAACCACAATCAACAAAAAGCGGAATGGACATGTGAATTATAAAAATAACAAACTGCGCAATCTGCATCATGGTGAGGTACCTCTTCCACCAGAGGTACTGTGCGACACTGGGACCCAACGTAGCGAGGAAGTAGTAAGTGTACATGATGACGTGGACGAAAGCGTTCATGGCAAGCCCCAGAGCACCTTGTCCCTCTGGAGCGAACAGCACAATAAGCCATGCGTTCGCGGCAAACAGGGCGTGATGGATGACATGAAGGTGAGTGATGTGCGTGAACTTCTTGCGCAGCACGAAGAAGACAGTGTCCAGCAAGTCGGCGTACCGGACCGCCAAGTACCACCATCCGCTCTTGTAGTATTCGGCAAGCTGGTCGTCCATGTAACCTGTGATACCTTGGCACCAGAGACTGTAGCGGCCTCCAGGAAGGTAGGTGTTGATAAGAACGATGTAGAGGAACCTTGCGTTGAGGATAACCATGGCGACGTTGTAGAAGCGCATGAGGTTCGTGATCTCAAAAGGTTTCCTGTTCTTCATCCATCGCGGACCCGCGACTTTGACAAAATACAGGTAAGATGCGATCATTGGGAAGACAAAGAAAGGGTTCATGACCAGCGGATAATCTCGGGTCCTGGGGTCGCCCATCTGTTGAATTTGGCTCAGGAATATGAATGGGTTCATGTTGATTTCCTTGTAAGAAACGTTTGTTCCGTCGGTCATCCGATACGAAGGCGAAGAGAACTGCAGAAAGAAACAAGGGATATTACAGCGTTAATGATAACCCACGTCCCACGTACTATTAGGGCACGTTGTACGAGGAACTGCGTGAGCATTGTGCAGCTTCGGGAATCATCTTTGCTGCCAACACGTTTTTCGTTTCCGCATGAAAACCTCTTAGTTTGAATGACACTTTTTTATTTCTTAAAGTCTCAAGTACCAAGATTACTTTCGAATAAAGAAACATATGCTTGTTTATTGAGTAACCTTGCTTGCGCAAGCACAAAGGACGAACACGACGGAGTTAACAAGTACAAGGATAAGCGTTCTCGTCCTCTGTGTTGGCGCAAACAGGTATACGCAGTACCTTGAACCAAGTACCAAACGGTCTTGCTAGTTTTACCATTGTTTTGTACCACCTGAGACTGGGTGGAGAACTAGAAGAACCAAAAAAGAAGAGGACAGGAAGAGAAAGACAGAAGGCGTCGTTTGAAACTGGTAGAACATGGCAAATCTACACCAGCTCGCCTGCAGCATCATAGTCTTGCTATATATATATATATTTTTTTTTTGGAATTTAATTCGATTAGATCACAATCCGTTGACAAAGTAAGCGTCACTACGGCACCCCACCGATAATTTATTTATCATCTCTCGCCGTATTCATTAAAACACTTCCGCGATTCTTTCCCCACGCACACGGAATCCGCGTTGCTACCCCATTGTGCTTCGCCACCGTCCACGCAGTGAAAACCATTTTCTGTTTTCTCAGACTCTACACTTCCTATTAAGCAGTCACTAACATGAGCGTGCATGGATGATAATGAACTCTTAAATGTGACAGGACTGCAATTAATTGTTAGCCCGCAGCAGCTCTTACCACATTTGCATTGACTGTCCATAACCTCAGTTCAGTGTACATGTGAAAAAACATATTTGGAAGACTGTCAAATAAAACTTAGGCTCACGGACATGTCTTAACTGAATTTTGTTATTTATTTCGACCTCATGGGCGTGACGAATATTGTCTATAAAGGTGATGATGTCGAGAAAGATTTTATGATTGATGTAACAGATAGTTCTTATAGTATGATATTGAATGAAATCGTTTTCTTACACGAAAGCTCTTGCATTAATGCTTTAGGAGTAGAGATTTAGGAGTAGAAAGCTGACAAAGAAATAGCTTGTCTTCTTATTTAATATAAGGCGTCTTTTTTTTCTTTTGGGAGGGGGGGTGTTTTTAAATGGCTGAATACTGGAAGCATCAATGCTGTGGAATCCACAGACATTCGTGACCGGTGATAAGCATTCTGTTCAACGCTTCAAACAACATGGATGCCCTATTATCGCTTTCGTGTCGCACGTTCTCGCGTTTTGCACCCTCAGCCAATTCTCTGACATATGCTGCCCCAATGTCAACATTGTTGCTTCTTTATACTTGTTAAATTCATAAATAGATTAAAAGAAGTTTAGGGTAAGTACCAAATACTGAGAAGGTTTGGTCAATCATAAATTATGGTTCTACCGTAGAGGGAATGGAATTTGTGCCATCTATGTGGCTAGAGCGCAGCTGAACGAATCCAGGACCAGACGGTTTCTTTTTTTTAGCCGTGAACCAGTCGCCAAGAGAGCAGAAGTTGATTTCTATATCAGGTGGACGCATACTTCATATTTTATTTAAAATTATAACGAGTCAATAGGAAGGCTTTGCCTCTTAAAGTTGCTACTCCGAAACCAACGTGAAAGAGATACTTACCTTAACAAGGATGTAGGCAAAACATTTGTACCCGATGACAAGGCTATGTCTCTGTCCTACTGCAGGAGCATTCTTAAATACCGTGTGAGGCTTCGACGTTTCCGGCCAATGGTCCAGCTGAACACTAACACGCACTGTCGCCAAGATGTGCACTTTTGTTGAGTGTCTGGCTGAAACCTTTTTCTACAATAAGAGCGCAAGAGCTGGTCGTTGAGAAAATACGTACTCCTCTTCACAAAAATCAGCTTTTATACTTACGAAACAATTACCACGCGGAAACAACAAACGTTTTCTACGTCCACAACTTTACTTCAGCTATGTCCTCTGCCTTAATTGCAGTACTAGTATTTTATACTCCATGACAGGATACGTATTTTTAATATGGAAAGAACAGATCCAAGATATCCTGTGCGAAAATTTGCAGCCAAAAAAAGAGCTTAGGAATACATTATGTCCCCTAATACACAACACCATTGTATCAGCTTGTTTACTTCCAAAGCGCGCCTGTGCTTTCCTCGAATAATGTTTCTCGTTTCAAAAACCCATCTATTAATTCTTGGTGACCCTCGGGATATTTTTCGCTTCTCTCTAATTGTGGAGGTGCTGAAGGCGTTTTCTCCACTCCAACACCCCAACAGCACTTCGCCCAATGACGTTTAAATACCCTACGATCCGGCATTACGTCATGCCCAACGACACCGGAAGAAGAACTCAATCCTTGTCTATCATGCGCACCGACGCTGCTCTCATCGTCCGCTCGCCGCTTGGTCGGCTCGGTCGGTTCAGTTAGGCTTAGGCTACGTCTGCTCCGTGCCAGCGGTCTGCTCCGTCTGCTCGCTGTCACGGCTGGCGTTGGACACGATCGGCGCACCCAAATAACTTTCGATGCCCACGCGCAGTCGCAACACGGCCAAGGGCAGCGAACGCGTGTCGAACGCCTGTCGAACGCCCGCTGCAAGCAGAGATTCAACCGCATCCTCACCCCTGTGTTTTAGATGCGGAGCATCTCTTGCTCGGGTCTATGTCCCGCGGCGTCGTAGTCCGCACCAGGGTTGTAAAGTACCTAGGTACAAGTAACTGTAAATCGGTATTTAGGTACTTTTGTTGTACCTGAGGTACAAACCTAGGTACTTTCATTTCTCAGTATCTGTATCTGTATCTTAGGTACATTTTCCAGTAACTTGTAACTAAGTGAAGTTACTTTTTACAGGTACTTTTCTATTCACTTCGTCAAAATCGTAGAAAATACAATATAACATATAACTGAAAATAAATTATAATTACAGTCGTCAAGCAATTTAACTTCACGTAGTGTTTCCACGCAATTAATCGAACTCAAATTTTGCACTCTACAAAACTGAAAATGTTTGTGAAGAAAAAATAATGGGAGGATGATTAACCTTCGCCTTTAAGAGTTGAACGCGACAGGGTTATCGGGCCCCGTTCGCATGGCCTTCTCAATCGCTTCTCATGCTCTTGAGTCACACAACGACCTAGTTCTTATGATACAACACTCCCGGCGCGATCGAGGAGCCTTTACCAGTGCTTTGATGCCATTTTACCCCGCAAGGTTTATTTATGTGTTTGCTCGGCACGCGCTAACAACACTCGATGCGATAATGCCTTTACCCTGACACAGACAGACATCGAGGCTCTATAATGACGGCAGGATCGCAGTGCCATTCCCAAGCCCTCCGTTGCCTAGTCGGTAGCATGTCTGGCTCGCAACCGAAGGGTCGTGAGTGCGATCCTGCGTAAATTTTTCAAATTTTTCTTTAAGGCAAATGAATTAGTTTATCAAGTGGGATCATTTGAAGCATGCGGCGACCATTAATTCGTATGTATTCAACCACCTTCATTCCACGCATGACGTCACGTTTCACATGAGCGTTGTGGGTTGTTTGAAATTCCCGCGCGAAGTCATGTGGCTGTGACGTCACGACCCTATCGACCATTCAGGAATTTCCCGTCACGCCACCGACGCCACCGACATCCGACAGATTTTCTGTGACCCGAGCTCGCAAACGCGCTCGCCGTTAAAATATTCTCTGCCTTCCTAAAAACGAAAGAAAAAACGTGAAAGCTTGAAGACTTTCGCTCGTCGTTGAGTTGCGAAGGTTAGGTGCGTGTACACTCGACTCTTCGTTTCTCCATGCCGCCGACGTCTTCTGGGCTCGCCAATGGCTTCGATGCCAGTGCTGGCGCTGAAGGGCAAGCCACGTCAACAAGCGAGTTTGAGCGGGACGTCGTATAAACAGTGGAAGCTGTGTCCTCGGTGAGCCAATTGAAGCGTGAGAGTAAGGCACGTGAGGACTCAACTCCAATCCTTTCGGCAAGTGCTCGGCATTATGGAAGAAGCAAGCGAGGTCTAATGTGGTTGCTGACGCCATCTCTTCAAGCTGTGAAGGATATTTGCCCACGCCTGTCCTCACGCGGTGAAACTCTATACATACGATTGCCTCAAATCGCTTCACGGAATGCTTGTCACAGTGAGGGAAAGTTGAAGGAAGTTTGTGAGAATTTTAAGATTTCGCGATTCACGAAGTCAGACATTGACTTTATTGATGAGTATGTTCAGGTGTTTACACCTCTCACACAAGCTATAACTTGCGCAAAAACAGCATGTTTATGGCATATCTCCTGCCTACAGTGGCTTCACTTCACAAAAAATGTCCGCGTTGCTGATGGAGAACTTGAGGTACTGCCGCCTGGTGGTCGAGAGCTTAATCACGGCGATCAATAAGAGGTTTGCAGGTATGGAGGAAGAAAACATTTGATAATATCTGCCGTATGCCATCCAAAATTTTAGGTTGCATGGATAGACAACGAAGTGGAACGGAAGCGGGCCTGGGATTATCTAAAGAACGAACTTATGCGAACATCAACTATAAAAAAAGCGTCGTCAGGCGAACAAAGTGGTGAGGATGAAGAAGACTGTAAGCACTTCATTAACTTCGAAACATCGTCCTCATCTGCTTCATGGGAATAGTAGTTTGTACAGTACACCGAACTTGCTCTGACAAGAAGTCTGGACTGTCTCAAGCACATGCCGCTTCTGAAAAGCGTGTTCTTAAAATTCAACACGGGGCTTCCAAGCACTGCGGCGCTGGAGCGCGTTTTTAGCGTAGGAGGAACAATTGCTACCAAACTGCGATTGAAGATGTCGGATGAACATTTCGAAGAAGTCCTGATTCTGAGGTCAAATCGAGCACTCAAGTGAAAAAGACAAAGTCTTCGAATGCTCTGGTGAGAGCGTTTTGCCTTATTTCTCCCATTGACACCAATAAAGCACGTTTATCAAACTTATTTTGGTGTACATCCCAGTATACAAAGGATTTACTTCCAATATTAATGTGAAAAATTTGAGAAAAATACTTGACGTGAAAATAAAATGTACCTTTGAAGTAACTGTACCTGTACCTAGGTACATTTTTCAGCGAGTAGCTAGATACGCACCTAGGTACATTTTCGTATGAGTAACTGTAACTGTATCTTAGGTACATTTTTGAAGTAACTTTTACAACCCTGGTCCGCACTCACACTACGCGTGCGCAACTCTCCTCGCTGCGCGTGCGTTCTCTCTCTCTCCAACAGCTGCACGAAGTGCACGCAGCTACCAGCTGCGTCCCTCTCTCCAACAGCTGCGCGTGCGTTCGCTTCTACTCACACCGCGCGCGCAGGCGCAACTCTCCTCCTCTAGTTTCCTCTCCTTCAAGTGTGAATATAAGCAGCGGTAGGGCGCGCTGCGCGCGTTCAGTTCAACGCTGTTGACTCACTCCGTTCTTCCGATGAAATCTGATAGAAGCGTCCACTGCAGACAAAGCTGCGCAGCGAAGGGCACGCGACGCTGAGCGCAAACGCTTGAAGCGAGCGGCAGACCCTGAACTAGTCCCCGCCGCCCCCGCCTGTTTTGATCTGGATGAGTTTCGTACCGGCACGCGTTCGTGTGATAACTACTGCGTGATGCACGTTAATAATCCCAGGTTAGCGGTCGTACTGCACTGGCTAAATTTCTCATCTACAGCTAAGATACCGATTACCCGTTGAGGTGCACCTTCATCAAGGCTGTATAAACATAAAGAGCAAACCAATTCTGGGCGCGTTCAGTTCATCGCTGTTGACTCCACTTCACTCCGTTCTTCCGATGAAGTGTGATGGAACGATGCTCCGCATCACCCCATGGTTCCCCTCGGGAAGATGGTGTCATTTTGTTTTTCAGCGTTCGTGCGTACGGCGCGCGGTTTGCTCACTTTCCAAATCCGTGCTGTGACGGCTGGTTCTAGACGTATAGCTCGCTGTTATAGAGCATCCGCCACACGCCGACTTTCTGCCGGCCAGGCAAGTGTTGGCCTGCGAATGTCACCTGTTTCGGCACCGATTCAGTGGACGCCGCCATGTAAATATGGGGCAAACAAACGTGTTGCCATGGCACTGTCATGGCAACGCGGTTGCTTGCCCCATATTTACATGGCGGCGCCCATTAACTGAGTTTCCAATTGGCTGAGAGACTGAGGGAGCACTCGTTGGCCACGCTTGCTTCGGTTACGCTTCAATCCATATATGCAGGGTATGGACGCCACCTCCTGCCCATTATAACCTCATTGGCCTCGCCCTACAAGATGCAATCAGACAGCAATTTCCAGATAACGAGGCTAGAGGGTTTAATCTTTAACGTCACTGAAAGAGGCAAATAGGGGGCTTGGACTGGACACCAGTCAGCGTTCGGCTGAAACTCATGTCGTCCCCTATGGAAGAGGAGTCTTATCTAAACAACAGTGCGGCACTTGTGGCCAATTTGCGCCCCATGTGTCGCTAAAGATCCCCCCCCCCCCCCCCCCCCCCCGGAGCTCATTGTTATCTAAGAGACGTTGATTAATGCTTCACGGGCACATGACGGATGCCCTTCAAAATGTTTGGGTCTTTACGAAGTTTGTTCTAAGTTTAAGTATTTATATATGGCGTTTTTGCATTGGTGTTTTAGGGTAATCTTTAAGGGGTAATATGAAAGCACGCGACTTTGACGAGAGCATCAAGCATTACAAAAGGTTAAAATCCTCATAAAATATAAAGTAAAAAGAAATATTTATTTATACGGATGATGTAGACTACGTGTTTTGAGTTGATTTTAAAAATTTTCAGAAGTCAGTCTAGGGTTTTTAACGTGCTCCCGGACATTGCTTGTTATCCTGGTAATTGACGCCGCGTTCTTTTTGTCTTTTTTTTCGTAAATTACTTTTTACGGGGCAGGCGATTCGTGAGAAACGTGGCTAAATAAATCACTAATATTTTCATAAGGGTTTACCATTCACTGCTGCTGCAATCTTTGTTTCGTTTCCTTTTTCATACAGTGCTGGTGACTCTTGGTTGAATACAAAATTATGCCGAGAAACAAAATCAATAAAATTGTGATTTAAAATTTCACGACATCTTACTCTGTATTAAGCAACGTCATTTCGTTACGCGCGCGTGAATTGCACGGACACATTCTATTCCTTTGCAGGACACTTGAAACAAAGCAGTTAGCAAGCTCGTCGTGCTTAAATTTGCCGGCGTTCTTATACTTTGTTTCACCCGATGTATGGCCGAGCAGCGAAGATTAAAAACGCAAAAATGGGAGTCCCTCCTACAGCGGGAGAGTTTGCGCACCCAACTTCACAGCAATTAGCTGAGGTTTGTAGCCTTCGCTGCCATATATGTTAGATTGAAACTAGTCGCGAATCCCGCGGGTAGATATAAAATAATTACAGAGCCTTTTTTCTTTCTCTGGGGGAGGGGGGGGGGATATTTTCTGCATGTGTAAACGCAACCAAGAATCTGTTTCTCTAAACGCGCGAACATGGAGTGGTTTTGGATTGCTCTAAATCAACCAGCGGAATTTGTTATAAGTATATGGGAGCTTGTTTTTATTATTATTTTATTTATTTATTTATATCTCGCTCTAGAACACTTAAAATAGTGACTTCTGGCTCAAGGTCTTGGTTTTACAGATACATTGATTTGTTTCCAGCTAAGTGGTG